AGTTATTATTTCTGACATTTCTCATATGTGTATTATATATATATGGTTTATAAGACGTATATACTATCTGTCATCGCGGTGACAGGTTGTGTTCACTGACAACACGTTAAATAAAAATAACAATAGCGTGCGCGTAGCGCGCGCCTGTGTTGTGCTAGTTATAACAAAAATATGTAAAAGATTGGTTATTGTTAGAAATAAATCGATATATTGCTTTATATATTAAACTATTCTAGAAAATAAAGAAAATTAAGAAATATGAAAAGTTAATAGTTTATACAGGGTGTTTCAGAANTATGGGATCAAACTTCTAGGGGTTATTCAGTGCAACAGTAGAAAACATTTGAGTATAGGGACCCATGTCCGGAAAAGTGTCACTACCGCACTACGGCCCTAAGACGCGTTAAAATTTAGAAAGACGATGAATTGCCTAAATAGGATTAAATCGGTGTATTCAGGTTGGAGGAAGACATTTTGAACAATTGTTGTGATGATATCATGTACAAAAGGTAAACATTAAATGCATTAAATCCTATTTAGGCAATTCATCGTCTTTCTAAATTTTAACGCGTCTTAGGGCCGTAGTGCGGTAGTGACACTTTTCCGGACATGGGTCCCTATACTCAAATGTTTTCTACTGTTGCACTGAATAACCCCTAGAAGTTTGATCCCATAGTTCTGAAACACCCTGTATAAGCGAAATATTTAATCAGAATACGCGATGTATATTAGCAATAACGAGAGATTGTATATTAATTAATAAAAAAAAAAAAGAAAATGAGACTTTAGATTTGCGCATAATTTTGTAATAATTTATGATAATACAGTATATGAAAAAAAAAAAACTGAACTGCACAAAATTCGAAAACTCATCTCTGATTTGCAGCTACCGCAAGTTCATCCGAGATGATTTGATTAGTCGACGCAAGTTACGCGAGTTACGCATCATGTAAAAACATTTTCTTATGGTTGATAGAAATTAATATTTCTGAACGTGTTCGAGAACACGCGTTTGGGAATTCGACTCTCGAACGCCGCGATATGCGCATGTCACCTACATATACAAAATAATTTCGTGAATAAAAATACTATCTTTGATTTGGCTCTATTTTGTGCTATGTGCGCTTTGCCGCGCGCGCGTCGACTCGATATTTCAATTATCGAAGTACCGTAGCTTTTGATAATTGATACTGACTCGACTTGGGTCCGATTGTTCCATCTTCAGGCAAAGACTGGCCGGCATAGATGCCAGATTCTGAACACTTGGTAGCATGCGGGCATGGAGGGGATGCGCACACAACCTCAGATCCTACACGATCTGAGGTTGTGCGCATCCCCTCCATGCTACCGCTGCTACCGCATGCTACCAAGTAGGGATGGGCGATGTATAAAAAAAAAATCGATGCTAAATTAATCGACGTTTGAATATATCGATGCTGATTAATCGATTATTTACAAAAACTATCGATGAATCGGTTAGTTTTTTAAAAACGCTTTTTTGATAAGGCGTATCTCGATATAAAAAAAAAAAAGCGGATTGGAACAGTAAAGCTTACTATAATAAAAACAATAATAAATAAAAAATACAGATAAAAAATAAATGGCTATTGGACATTCGACAAATAAGAGTTTTACTTTTCCGAAAAGGAACTCATTAGATAGTGCTCATTTCGTTCAATGTGCAATGGCCACACATTATTCTTTATTCTTTATTTTTTATTTTCTTATAGTTTTTAATTTAACGTTTCTAACAAAAAATAAATTAGATGAAAAGTATCAGAATAAACGAAATCAGCGGGACTAAATTAAAATGAAATCATTTTATTGTTNATCTTTTATTTAGTTTTTTTGTTCTGTTCCTATTTTTTTCTGCATCAAAATCTTTAATTGTAGAAATAGTTTAAAGGTCAATGATGTTATAAAGAAATAATGCAAATTAATAATATAATTTTTATTTCTTTATCTCTTTTTCTTTGATAAAAAATTTAATTAAATAAACACCGATATCTGACATAAAAAATCGATGCATCGATGTAATGATAAGGAAAACATCGAACCAATTAATCGATTACTAAAAAGAAAACTATCGTTCATTTCGATTAATCGTAAAATATCGCCCATCCCTACTACCAAGTGTTCAGAATCTGGCATCTCTGCTGGCCGGTGCCTAAACAGTTCAGGGGCACGGAGCCATAAGTGCAAAGAAGAAGTTCCATCTTCAGATAAAGTATCGGTAGACTATTATCAAGAGGAATTTCTTGTTTTTGGAATATCAATTGCTTTTGAAAACAAAAATTGACATGAAATGCGTTGTACCTGGAGGAAACGTCAAGAGTAGGTTCATTATTTCTTTTAATTTAGGTTATATACTGTGGAGTGTTTGTTTATATCAAAAATATATTTTAACTATGCTGGAGATTGTTGTTATTTAAGCTCATCGTATACTTTATGTTTACTTTTTTCCATTTTTTGTTGTGTTAATATATTAATATACTTTGTTAATATATTCATATATTTTACGATAATATATGAATATTACTCCGTACACATTTTATGTTTTACATTATTACCGTAATTATTTATTACAATTTAAGAATTTGGAATATTTGATATGCATTAGAATAAAGAAAAAGAGATCTTAAGATTAATTAACTTTTATTTTACAAACTGTTACCATACTCTGTATATGACAGTTTTAGCAAAGGCAGTACACATGTTGGCAAAGATTGGGGATGAAATATATGTAAATCCACAACAGGAAGCTATTTCCTTTCGGACAGTCAATATGGCAAAATCAGCATATTCCGATTTTACATTCTATAAAAATTTCTTTTCTTATTACACTCTTGGAGATCTTGCAGAAGAAGAGGCACAAAAGTGTAAAATTTCCATGAGGGTAATAATGTCTCTTTATTATCTCTAATAAGATATTATTTAAACATTCACCAATTATATTCTGTAATTCTTATAGAGTGCCATGACTGTTTTTAAATTTGCAAATGCATTAGATAAACAAGTGGAAACTTGTCATATCTGTTTAGAAGTAGACGCCTGCAACCTAGTGTTTATCTTGAAATACAAAAATGGTATTAACAAGTCTCACTTGTCACCTATCTTGGATTGTGAAAAGTTGCAAGTACACAAAAAAATTTTTTCCTTATACTTAATTGTTAATTGACTTGTCAAACACTTTTGATAGAAAGTCTAGTTAATTTTTTAAGTAAATTTAAATCTGTTCAAATGGAATTAAGATATTTTTTTAAATAGTTCAGAAATTTTGACAAATTAAATTTTTTAATCATGATCAAAAAAGCTTTGCTTAGGATTTTATTTATTTTATCTAAATATCAATTATTTTATATATATAATAAATTTATGCACATACAATAGGCATCATATTCCAAGGCTGAAATGCACAATGAATTAGCATCGCAAGCTCGAGTGTTGGTTGATGCTTTGCAAAATTTCCCACAAAGTCTGATTGAAATAACACTTGAGATAACACCCAATAAGGTCTTGCTCAGAAATTATGTGGATGACTCATCAGGTAAATAAGAAACTGTGAATACTGTTTATAAACAAAATGTGAACCATTATAATGTGTGCATATAATGTTGAGATATAAATTTAGTAATTTATAAATTTTATTCAGTCATGGTAAATACCACACGAACCCAACTGGCTCTCAGCGTCGGAGAATTTGATCGCTGTATAGTAGGTAACGAGACAACCATCACATTTTGTCTGAAGGAAGTTAGAGCTTTTCTTACGTTTAGTGAGAGCGCAGGTGTTCCGATTACTGTGAATTTTGAAACAACAGGAAAGTATGTATATGCGAAAATCTGAATTTCTTTATTTATTTCCTTTACTTATTTTACATAAATACTGAGTGTATATTTGAGTGTATTTTTTTTGTACATGTGAATTTATACATAGTATATAAAACAAACAAGTTCTTTTGCGTATATATACGCATAAAACGCGCGCGCGCGTGTGTGTGTGTATGTGTGTGTGTGTGTGTGTGTGTGTGTGTGTGTGTATTAATATATAAATATATATTGTAATATTTTTAAATTTTAATAAACAAATATGTTTTTATGGATTGTCTTTTTCAGACCAATGTTACTTGCACTGAGAGCTCCGAGTTTTGAGGCTAACTTATTGTTATCAACTCTGAGCTTAGACAGCGACAGCCAGTCGGAGTCATCGGTCGCCACCAGACAGATACAACCGGTTCGAAGAAAAAATACTTCCTCAAGAAGCATTTCCAGGCGTGGCAGAAAAGCATCTAATCAAGTAAAACGATCTATTGTTCCTACTAAGTCTCCCAATAATACATTTCGGAATAAATCACCGGAAGAAGAAAATCGGATGGTCAAAACGTTGAATCAAACCAGGAACAGTTCAGCAAACATCATTTTCGCGAAAACGAATAAATCTACCGATGACGGGCAAGAAAGAAATCATAGAAGTTACATAGAACAAAATCAAAATAAAATAGAACAGAATCGTTTACTCACCGTCATTCCTGCCAGCACATCTTCGATTACTTCTAAAAATCAGATGGACAAGACGTTGAGCCAAATCAACACAAACAATTCAACGAACATTGTGTTTGGGAAAACACATAATTTTATGGATCGTGTACAAGAAAGAAATCTAAGTAACGTAGAACAGAACCATTTGTTCACCGTCACAAACAGTCCTGCCAGCACATCTTCAACCACTTCTAAAATTTCAGAAAAACACCGAAAACTGGTGAAGTCGGTGTTTTCCACTATTACAAAGCGAAAATCGACGTGCGATGAGAATTACAGTACAGAAGAGGATCCAATTACGGAAGAATATTCCAACTTGGACGAGAGTGTATCGCGTTCACTATCTTCGTCATCGAAGCAAGTGGCTAAGAAAGCTAAAGTAGTGTTTCAGAAATGCTTTCAGACCACTTTTGATCCTCGAATGTTACCTGGTCACGATGTTGTTTTAGTGGGAGACTCTGACGAAAATAGTGATTAAAATTATTGTTTTACCAGCAAGATACACGAGGAAGAGGATACTTCCATAAAAACAAACTTTCATATGTAAATAAGAGACATTGAGTTTTTTTTGTTTGGACAATTAAAAATGACTTAGTTCTATACGATATTAAACCTTCTGACATAATAATGTGTTTCAGATTATTTAAATAGTTGCTTTTAAATAATTAACATCCTTGATAAAATTTTAAAGTTTTATAATTTAAATTTTATCTTTCTCCTGAATACTCGTAGTTTTATGCAATTAAGTTTGCTAAAGCGCTTTTAATGCCAAATGTACACTAAATAGTTTATTGTATGGAAATCACATAGACACAAATATGAGTACATTGTACATAATTATAATGTCACAGTGCATTGACACAATGTGTCAATGCCTGTACTACAGTGCAAACGTTAAGACAATTTAATTAGATCTTGGATTGTAAATAAAATTGTTTTGTTTATACAATAGCTTACACTAAAAAAAAATAAAATCTTTAATAAGATCTATAATAAAACGCGTGAGTTTTTGATTATATTCGTAACACTTCGCGCATTAAAATGTCACAATAATAACACGTGGCTTACATTCCCCACCATTTCTGTCCATTTCTCACGTAAGAAGAGAGAATTCTAGACAAGAGGAACACCTAACCTTTAAGAAAACTCACGACTCGGAGCTTTGAACAGTAGATCTGTTAAAAGTTGCATTAAATAGTTTCATGAAAGCCTAAAGGTAACTTAAATACTCACAAAAGCTATATACTTTGTTCTAATAAATGCGACTAAATAATCAAAGTCAACAAACTCAGATAGGAAAGTTGAAGTAACACAGTTGGATGTAACATAAAACGCGAAAGAGGGAAATATGAATATTTCGAGGCGAGTAATATTTAATTTAACTACGTTAACCAGCGCAAGTTTAGGAGGCTGGTATCTGGGCAGATATTTTGAACAAAAGCAACGTTTGAATGAAGAAGACAATGGAACAACGCAAATCCAAAAAATGCCAGGTTTACCCTTGTTCGGCACGGTTTCGGCAGCCACCCCCTTTACACCTGTTGAAAAAAACTTTGAAATGGGCTTGAAAGTATCTATTGCCACGAGGGTGTCGGAGGTAGGAAAAAGTTTGGTGTCAAAAAAAATGAACAACTAACCTATATAATAAAGTTGGTCTTTGAAATTCATCAAATGCGTTTTAAAAATGTTGTTAACTTAATTTAGAAGTATCTAACTGATTGTTGTGTAACTGAGTGTCGATAAATATTATTGACGACAGATTATGAAGTATGGCTTTCCCGGGCTGGATCACGTCAGATCGTATGAGGATTTTGTTCTGTCTTACGACAGAAGAAACAGAGTTGCTCACTGGGTGTTTGAACACTTAACGAAAGAGAGACTGAAATACAGTGAGGTGGATCGCTCCAAGTGCGAGTTCAAGCCTGATGAGAGTATACATCCTTTCTTCAGGTAAAATAAAAAAAAAAACAATTTCTAGAAACAAAAAGATCAAATTATTTTAAAACTATATAAACTAGATATAAACTATATAGAAAATTTGCTATAACTCACTTTAGTAATGTAAGAAAGAAACGTAACGTAGAAATTACTCGTAGAGTAATTTCTAAGAATGTGTTTGCTACTTTTAAAGTAATTCAGTATTTGAAACTCTTAAATTTACTAATGCCAATCAGATCGGAAAATACAGATTATAAGGGAAGTGGCTACGACCGAGGTCACCTGGCAGCAGCTGGAAATCATAAAATAGAACAGAAACATATGGAACAAACCTTTTTCCTCTCAAACATGGCACCACAAGTTGGTGTAGGTTTTAACAGAGATTCCTGGAACAGATTGGAGAAATATGTTCGGAAATTAACAAATATCTACAAAGATGTTTATGTATGCACCGGACCATTGTATCTTCCAAAGTATGTATTTGTTTTTTTGCAATTTCCAATCTCTTCAAAAATTTGATCTTATTACAGAATTAAAATAATTACGTTATCATAAATAAATTTTTTTATTAATGTTTTTATTAACTTTTTAAATAATATTAAATAACATCTCTTGTTTATGTGTTGGAAATTTAAAGGAAGGAAGCAAATGGAAAAAAATATGTACGTTACGAAGTAATAGGCGCTAATCATGTGGCAGTGCCCACACATTTTTATAAAGTGATAGTCGGTGAAACTAGCGATGGCAAATTAGAAATGGAAGCTTTTGTGATGCCAAACGCGCCGATCGATGATAACACGCCACTTACCAATTTTCAGGTACTCTTATAATGCATTTTGAAAAAAAGCTATAGTCTGTAACGTAAGAGAAATATAGTCTGTAAAAAAGCAATTTTTGCTTAGAAAATTTTATGTGCATCTATTTAAAAATATACGTGTACATATGAACTTATTTAAATATTTTATGTTAACCTTTAACTTTGTAATAAACAAATTATAGTTTGCATATTAGATATCATATAGTATATAATCATAATTGAAATATTTTTAAATTAAATATAACAGCAAAACGTGTAAGTTAAATGATAAATTTGGTCTATATTAAATATAATAAAAATGTATTTATAAGTTTGCATTATATATATATGTATATATATACACTACATTAAAATATAATTAATTTTAATAGGTTCCACCGGAAAGCATTGAACGTGCTGCCGGACTTTTATTTTTTGACAGAATATCACGAGATAAGCTAAGTAAAATCAACGGCAAAACTACAGGCTGGTTTTAACGATTGCTCAATTTTTAATCTTTTTCCTTCAAATAGAGGCGCAACTTTTTTTAATTAATTTAAATTGTAGAAAAATTTTTAATATTTGACATATTATTCAAGAGTTCAATGAGAGAAAAGAATCGAAAGAGAAGAGAGCGAACGAAAACTCGTTTGTTTCGCGCATATCCTCTACCAGAAAGTTCACTCATCTTACAGCCATTGGCTGCCAGCAGGTGTCTCGCGTCCAACACTATCCACACTTTGCTTAATCTTGATTTTCTTTGCACAGACCGATTCTTTTCTCTCATTGAACTCAGTGTAGTCGATCAAGTTTGACTTTATTGTATATAATGTTTGAAGTAGTTATGTTTTATTATACAGATATATAAATATTTGTTCAATTATATATATGCGTTGTTTTATTAATTTTATACATTTTTAATTATTCTTTGGAACATCACTACGTCTATTTACATAACATGCTGTGTTGTGAATCCTTTTATGTCTTGTCTCATAATTGAATGGTCACATATATTGAATAAAACGCTCATATGAATTTATACACATGTTTCTTTGAATAATACATAGTTCATACGTGTTGGTATAGTTTGCAAAAAAGACAAAAAATAGATACAGGTAATCTGATTTTTTATTTTTGTCTAATAATGTATATTCGATCTTCTTGAGTTGCCAACTGTCGAAATAAGATTAGTTTTTTTGTACACGTGTACTCGTGAACTTAAAATGACATGTATTAAAGCACGTGTAACGTGAAATAAGGATCTGTACTTATATAACGCACTGATCAACAGAAATAATAGTAGTTATCAGAGCCTAACACTAAAAGGGAAGTTTGAAATACTTGTCAAACATTGTAAACTTCTGGCTAGCTTTTCTATTTTTTAATTTTCAAGGAAGCTTTTATAAAACCTACAGGCTTGTCAGAAATAACAGAACGAACATTTTGAGCAATTACTGTAAACTTTGTTCTATATTTAATGTTTTAATAATTTTGTATATTTTGACAACACATTTGCGCTTTTGAAAAATAGTTTAATATAAGAGTTATTAAGCTCAATAAGTACTGTCGACAGAGTAATTCAAAATGTGACTCATTTCCATTTAAAAAAAAGAAAAAAGTTAAATTTAATTTTTGTTAACGTGAAACAAAATATTAAACATCATTCAAGGTCACTGTGGTATGTTCCTCTTGATGTTCTACAATTTTCATAACGGATGTCTTCCTCTATCTCTGACCGTTTTCGAGAAATGTGCTAATCATTTTATCATACTCACCTTGTGTGTATACGCATTTATATGAGTGCGTAGTGATATACATTAAATTAGTGTTCGAAAAATGTGGAATTTTCCCATCACCTCAGAAAGTAAATATTTTCGTAAAAAGTTAGATACAAAAAAAGTTTTATGAAAGGGACACCTTTTAGTGACCTTGGCTTTAATTTTGGAGTCAAACTTAGAGATCATTTAAAGTCAAATCGATTTTTAAAAATAAAATTTGTTTTTATTGTTCATTGCATATTATAGCCATTTTTTTCAGGTTTTTTCAAAGCACTATAATTTTATTCTTTAATTTAATCCTTATTGAACTTTTTGTGGTAAGACGTATAGCAAATGAAGGTAAGAAAACTCATCATCTATTATGTTCTTCCAGTAGTATCATCCACTTTCATTGACAAATCATCTTCCGATCGTGCCTTCATGGGTTATACATCTTATCACAAAAAGATTCGATAACGGTTTACTTAAAGAATAAAATTTATAATGCTTTGAAAAGGCCTGAAGAAGGGTTATACAAATATGCAATAAAAAATAAGAGGTGTTTTTCATAGAAAAAAATCGATTTGACCTTTGTACAAAAAAGTGGAGTATAATCACGAACAGTATTTACAATCATTGTCACTGGTCCTTATTAACTCCTCGCGATAATTAAAATCGATGGGTTCTACCTCAGCCGCGTTCACAAATGACCGGACGTTTACAAAGACAAGTTTGGATGCTACCTCACCGTACGGTCTGCCTTGGCTTCTCATCAGGCTAAGTCCTTTTAGTCAGTTCAGAGAGTCGTCTGCTCGCCTTCGGATGTAGATAGCAAGAGAGTGAAGACGCTGAGACGGATATCTGAGCGATCCTCAGATTTTCTGATATGATTTTTAGGAGAAAAATTCGGAACCGATTCTCTAATTGACAACGTAATCAACACTAGATGTCTGATGAGACAATTTCAGCTATAAATACTCAAATCTTCGGTGTACTATTATTTTCATTGACGTCGTGATAGTAGGTAATTTCAACAAAGCAGCAATTCAAATTCTTTGACAGATTTTTCGACGACGTTTAGCATCGCTGTCTCGGAGATAACAACAAATTTTTCATTTTTACCCGATATTTTGGGAGAAATTGCACAATTTGCGAATGAAAAATTGCTTTCGCCATTCTTTATTCCAAATTCAATCAAATCTAGCCACGTACTTTCTATGACATTTGTACAGCGCCACGCAAAATATTTCACGAATGTGACACAAGAGGCAACAGAAAAGTCATCAGATATCTTTTTTGCCTGAGATTTTGAAACGTTTGGTCTCAACTTGTCGACACAGTACTCGTTCACCGATCAGGATCAATTATAGGTTCGAATTTAAAACTGACGACTGGTGTAATAATGCGTACATACGGTATTCTCTGCTTATTTCATATACTGAAAATTCAGTCTTGAACAAATGCTTTATATGTATAAGTAAAGATTCAGATGCTTATACAAAGATGTGTGTGAGATGAGACTTTTACAAGAGTAAAATATTCTATAACGCAAGACCGTGCGCGCGCGCACGGCGTCTCACCGCTACTTTGGTCACAATAAGAATAGTTACGTACCTATTAATATACGCGTTAAATATCTAACAATTATATATATAAAATCCTAAACATGATAAAGTTAATATTCTTCTGTCTCTCGGCTTACAAGCTAATCTATATACAAAAATTAACACATGCGCAAGATGATGAGCGCGAGCTCTTCGCGATCTTCCGCAAGATTTTGCTCATGGTTTGATAATACAACGTCTATATATCGGTTTTTCTTCGTGGAAAGATTGAAAAACACATCTCGCTGCTCGACGATTTAATACTAAAACCTAATTATGTATTATTCTCGAGTAGATAAGCGAATTAAAATAAATTCCTATTAGTTCTGAATAATCAAAACGGAAAGATGCTACTAAAATTTCTACAAATTTCCTTTAATTCGCTCATCGTTTTGTGTTTTTTTTTTTTTTTTTTTGCAAGCATAAGAACATTATGCATTATTCTCGTAGAGAGTGAAATAGAGACGAAGAAGAAAGAGAGATCTCACCGCATTGAGAGTCGCATATTAGAACATTTAAAGATTTTTGTTCTTCTCTTTTTCTCTTATCGGATATTGCATACGCGTTGTGGCTTATAAATAATATCTCCGTTAAGTTAATTTTATGTATATATAATACTTTCATATATATATATATATATATAAATGTAAAAATATGTATATATATATGTATATATTTATGTGTGTACATACATGTATATACGTACATAATATACACATACATATACATATCCATATATACATACATATATATATATACACACACACACATATATATATGTATATGTATATAATAAAAGTATTACATAGTTTTATATACATGTATATAAAGGAAAAAAGTATATCCTATATATAATAGGCAGAAAGAGACAGACAGAGAAACATAGACAGATTAGGCACTAAGATGGACGGGATTGTTTAGCTCGTATTTTGCTTCCCTCGAGTATTGCTTAAACGCCTTAAGGACACTTTTAAAAGCTTTAAGTACACTTCCTCTATTACGATTTCAATTTTTATTCGCGTTACGAAGTGTCCCAGAGAGAGAAGCGCGAGTCACTCCTAAATCGTCGATATCGTCATCATTCAGGAAGCCTTTAAGATTCTTGTATTTTTCATCGTCAGGTTTTGAATATTAAAAAATATCATATATATTATTTGGTCCCTCATATTCAATTAAAAAAGATCAAGACTCCTAAACACTTTCCAAACATAAATGATTGTTTCGAATGTATACTTCTGCGTGCAATGTATAATATCGTTCTCTGGGACATTTGTCATTCAGGAAATAAACAAAATATCAGATTCACTTTGTCTCAACGTGATATCGCGAGTTACCGGAGGTCGTTAAAACATAAACTAATCGATAAGTTTTGTTTTTTACGATAAATATGTTGTTAAAGCATATCGCTTGTTTTTTTTTTTTTATATTAGCATAATAATGAACAATTTTCCCCTCTTCACGATTATTTTGTAAGAGAAACCGACAAATTACTAAAATTACTAAAAGATCTTTACGGGATTTGTCGCATCAATTCTAAAACGAGTTATAAATATTTTAATACGTTTTAAAATAAATTTCTTCTAATTCATCTAGTTTTTTGTAACGATAAAACACCGAAGACTAGAAGACACAATATAACAAAATTGTTTTACTTCGTCCACTAATTTTTTTTTTTTTTTTTTGTTATCGAGACTATTTCGGTTTATAAAATTTCTAATGACGAATTGGTTTTTTTTTGGGGGGACTAGGCTACGTCTTTGCATATAAGATTTGCGCTTTTGAATAGCATCGCACATATAACGAGATTTATACGTATTATCTAATTACATTAACACCTATTGCCGATCAATTAGATCAATCTCTCTTCCGGCGGAGGTTTAAGCACGTTATCCATTTCTACTCGCGGATTGCTGAACTCCTGAGCGCTTGGACTATACGTGCCGCGTGTTGCACGCTTCTTTCTTGCCATCATGAAGAGTGCCACGAGGAAGCCAATCACAATAAGAAGAAAACACCCTACGATTGGTCCTACAATTAGCGCCACATCGAGAGCTTGACTGCCTAACTGAAGATCCGGCTGAAAAATATTTATTACAACTTATTTTTATAATATTTTATATATATATATATATATATATATTATATTATTTTTATAATATTATACACATTCTTTAT